GTCAGAACTGAGTCTCTATAACTGCTGAGCCCAGGCTGGGGGCCTCCTCCTTGGCCTGTGTAATTTTGGCTTGCAGCAGTCTTGTTTCAGATGAATGTAGTCAATGCCCCAAGGGGGCTGGTGGGTGGCCCTGGGCCTGGACCCTTTGCTCTGTGATAAGGGTCAACCGTTCAGTGTTGGACATGTGTCTAGACTGCTGACTTGCATCTGAGAGCTGTGTGTGTTCAAGCTACTATCCCCGGAGAGCTCTGCTGGCCTCTGGAGCATGGTGTCACTGTCAGCACAGAACACCCAAAGGCCTTTCCGGCACTTTCCCCTCATGTGTCTGCAAAGCCCATATGTGAGTTTAGCACTATTTTCTTTTCTTGTGCTGTAAAGAGGAAGTGCATCTCACTATAGATCTTCCCAAAGCCTGACAGGTCTCAGGCTGTTGATGCCACACTCTTGCCTGTCTTAGGCCCAGGACCTCTCTGTGGGTCTGGTCAGGGATCGGGTGCAGCCTGGAGAAAGGGGAGGGTGAACAGAGCCGTGACAGACAGTCGAACAGACTGACGGAGTTGGTTACAGCGTCTGGGGCCCCAGGGTGACTGTGGGTTTCCTTTCACAGTGCTCTGGCATCTGTCATCAGAGGCCCTGTATCGGGACCCAGGGGTGAGCTGCCTTAAGAGTTCCTCATTACCCTGTCTTCCCCACAACCTTGGGGACTTGGCCCAACCTTCAGAAAAAGATGGCTTGCTTCTTCTTCCTCACCGTGAGGAGGGTTGAGCCAACTTCTACTTGAGAAACAGAAGCTGCAGGGTGAGGAGTAGGGTTGGAGTAGAAGAAATAGGAGGAAGTGGCTCGGTCTTGCCCAGAGTTGGCAGGCTCTGAGGTGCTCCTGGAGCCTGAGAGCTTGAAACCCCATATCAGCCTCCAGTACTGAGCCAGGAAGGAGGTGTTCAAGGGTTAGAGAGTCCAGGCCCAGAAGGTGGGGCACAGGTGGCCAGGGCAGGAGGCAGCATCTTAGATCAGCTCTCCCTACAGGTGGACTGCACACCTGTTGTCCTCTCTGTGGTGAGGCCCTTCCCCACCCTGGCTTCTTGCAGGACTGAAGGTCTCAGCTGCATCTTGAGAGAATGAGAGAGGTTGACCCGCCAATGGTTAAGGCAGGAGTGAGGGGCTTCCCAGTGGTAGTGAGGAGGGATGTCTGTGTCCAGAGATGCCTTTCCCAGGCTTTGTATGGTCTGAGATGGTGGGAAGATTGCTGTGGAAATGGGGTATACAGAGAGGCACCTGGTGGTCTCAGTGGCATGGCCTGGGAAGAAGGAATAAAAGCTTGGTCTTAGTGTCAGACGGACTTGGATTCAAGCCCTGGCTCTGTAACATAATCACTGTGTGATCGTAAACAACTTGCTTAGCCTCTCTGAGCCTCGTCTAGTGTATCTGGAAAAATGGAAGTTAAAGTGTCTGCCTTATGAGGTTATTGTGGGAATTAGATCAACTCAAACCTTCCTGGCACAAGTATGTTATTATTAGTGATTATCATCATTATTATTACTACTACTGCTATTATTTGTGCCTTGCTACCTGGGGGTCCCCTCCCCTTTCCTCGCAGATTCTTTAGCATCTTCCACTCTTCTCTCCACTCCCCAAAATAATGGACAGTGCTTGCTTGGGTGGAGGAGGGCTCCCAGGCCTGGATACCTATGCCCCTGGCACACTCAGACCTCCAGTGGGAGTAACAGGCAGGCCTTGGTAGCAGGAAGCTTCTGGGGTGATTCAGCCTACCCCATATGGCTCTCCTGAATTTCCTCTAACCAAGTCCCTGCTCCAGCTTGGAGAGCCTGCTCTGGGGGTCCCTGAATGATGGCCCTCTTTGATGTGCGGGGTGGGAGGAAGATGAGCTGAGTCTACTTGGCAGGTCAGCGGGTCCTGCAGCCCTGTTTGGCATCCCCCTTCACAGGACCCCGCATCTCCATTCTCCAAACTCGGCAGAGCCCTGCCCTTGGAGTCAGGTGCTGAGCGGCTGTCCCTGTGCTGGTCTTATGCACATGCACCCAAGCCTTCCCTTCCTCCAGGCCCCGAGCCCATGCTCTAGCTCACACGGTGGTGACAGGGTTGTGATAGGGGGAGATGTCTGTGTGCACTGTTGTGGCCGTGCGTGAGGGCTCCCAGCCTGCTAGAGGCACATGGACCTGCCAGACACCCCCTCCAGCCCTTCCCCCAGCATGCTCTTCCTTCCTCTGTCTTCCTCGGAGCTGCAGACAGGGACTTCTGCTTGGTCTGCTTGATGCTTCGGTGGAGAGGAACCCAGCCGGGCTTCTGCAGCCAGAGACAGCTCTTCGGCTTGCAGCTTCCCGGTGGCCCCCTCATTCAGTCTGGGGGCTGGCTTTTGGGTTTCTAACCTGAATTGGGTTGGCTGTCAGAGAATGAGGGTTTAAAAGCAAGAGAAAAGGGTTAGGTTATTTCTATGGCCCTCAGTGTTCCCTGCTTGTCCAAATCCTCCCCCTGGTGCTGTGGGTCAGGGGATCTTGGATGCTGTCCTTGTCTTGTGTCTGTCTCTCTTCCCCCAGCTTCCGTATATGCAGGCCACAAAGCTTTCCCTCGCAATCACTCTGGGGCTGGAGTTGAGGGAGGAAATGGAGGAGGAAGTTCCTCCCCTTCTGGGCACTGGGTGAAAGTGAAAGAGAGGGGGCCTGGAGTGAGTCACCGGAGCTCCGGGAGTGGAAGGGCTAGTAGCCGAGGAAGCGAGGAAACGTGCAGAGGAGTGATAGCACCGAGGCCTCCGGGAGGGGCTGGCATTCATGGGTGCTGGGGTGGGGGGCGTCGCTGGGTGGAGCCCGGGCTTTGTACAGACCTGCCCAGCCCCTGCCCTCTGCTCTGGACTGGTTTCCTGGGGCTGTTAACAAGGACTTGAGATCAGCCTACATTGGCCTGAGCTTTCCTCCCCACCCTTCCCTTCCTATCCTGACTGATCCAGACTAGAATCTTAGTGTGGGGAAGAGGTGGGTCACTCTTACCCAGGAAGGAAAAAAAAAAAAAAAAAAAAATCTCTCAGCAGCAAGAGAAAGCCTTTTAAAATACATGCAAGCAGCTATGTGAGTCTATCTGTTCTGTAGTATTGTAAATAGAGGAACCTTTTTTTTTTTTTCTTTTTAAAATCAAAACAGAAAACAAAACCAGAAAAACTATGAACACTTTAGTCATGCCATATCCTTGAGAAACCCTCCAGGCCTACGTCCTTGCAGTATGTACCCCCAACATCTTAGATATACTCTTCCTTTCTCTTCCTTTCCTCGGCACCAGGGGCTCTTTGGCTGTGGGGGAAAGGGCTGCAGGGAACCTGCTATGGGACTGGATCCTGCCTCCAGCCAGGGCTGCAGAACCGGTTCTGTGCTAGTTTGAGGAGAGGCTGTGACAGCCACAGCCCCACCCAGCAGCCCCTCCCAGGGGTGGGACTGGGACCACACACGCCCTCCTGGGGCCTCACCTGCAAGCCTTAGTGCCAAAGACGGCTGGGCCTAGCCCCTGGATCTAAGTCTGCAAGGGCCTGGTGGGGTTCGCAGCCCTGGGGTGTGCAGGAGGCTGACCATGTTGGGAATGACCCTTGTTCTCGCCACTTCCTGTTGAGATGTACATGGAGCGTCAGACGAGATGTGGCTGACACATGCTTCTGGGTCCCATGGGGAGGTAACTGGGTGGACAGATGGCAAAGGAGGACTAGGCCTGGCTACCCAGTGGGCTGTCACCTGAGTTAAGAGGAGAAGGGATTCCTTGCTTTTAGTCCTTTTTCTCCCAGTTGGGCTGATGGTATTCAAACTTGCCCTTTGGCAGGTGCCTTTGTGCACAAATGACACACCAAATGCAGCAATCCTGGAGCCTAACCAGGCAGGTGAGGTGGTGGAGGAGGGTCACAGGTAAGACCCCCGAGACTGGCCCTTAGTTACCCTTCAGGTATGGAACTGAACTCACTCCCGTGTCTTATAGCCAAACAATATATAGGCATATAGACTGAACATTTACATCAGGTAGATAGACTGCTTAGAACATCAATCGTGGGAGAATAGAAAGGCAGTATTTGTACAGGGAGATAGCTCTGGGGGTGGGGAGGGAGACAGGAATGCATAGGAAAGAAGGACACAGGGAAGAGGTAACTAGAGGGAGGAAGTAGGAAGAGAGCTGTGGGGAATTGCAGTCAATGTCATGAAACAAAATGTGTATGAACTTCTGTATGGAAAATGAATTTACAGATACAGATATATAGATAGAAACCAAAGATGATTAATGGTTACCGGAGGGAGCAGGGAGGGGGAGGCTTTTGTTTGCTGGACACTGAGTTTATGCTAATGGTGGTGGAATATTTTGGAAAAAGAGAGGAATAATGGTGGCATAACATGAAAAATGTCATCAGTGTCCCTGAGCTGTAATTGTGGAAGTTGTTAAGTTGGCAAATGTTCTGTTGTGTATGTTTTCAAAAAGTTTAAAAAAAAAAAAAAAAAAAAAAAAAAAAAAAAAGAAATTGCCCCGGAAAAAATCAACCAAAACAAAAAAAAAAATAAAAAAAAAAAAAAAAAGAGGATCACAGATCTTTGGGAGATGCTACTGATTCTGCTGCCATCCCTGCACTTCCTCGAGGGTCTGGCTCCTGCCTCACGGATACTGCTTTGTGACAGTGGGTCATCGCTGGGACACAAGGTGGTGGAACCATAGGGCCTTGGAGGCCCCCTCCTCACCCATGCTGATATCCAGGACACCCTGGGAGGTCATGGCTGACACTATTGCTCCTCTTCTCCCTGTAGGTTCCAGGATCCTGAGGAGGAGCATCATGAACTGGGAGGAGTAGACAAGTCCCAGAGCTTCTCTGCAAAGAGGAAAGGAGGGCAAGCAGTTCTTCCTCGTGTCTGACCACATCATCCAGCATCTTCCTCTGCCCCTGCTCTGCCCCCAGTGGCTCCTAGACCGACTGGGCTCCCAGCAGGACCTTTCCCCGGGGCATGGGTAATTGGTGAAGCAAGTCTCACTGCCAGGGCCCAGCTGGCCACACCATGAACCTCCAGGCCCAGCCCAAGCCTCAGAACAAGCGGAAGCGTTGTGTCTTCTTCGGGGACCAGGAGTCCGCTCCCAAGGAGCAGCCCCCACCCCTCCAGGCACCACAGCAGCCCCCGGCCCCTCCACAGTCCACCAGAGTGAAGGAGGAGCCATACTTTGGGCACGAGGGTCCGTCAGGAGGCATCCCCACCTCTCAGCCTGTGGAACTGCCCCCTCCCAACAGCCTGGCCCTACTGAATTCTGTGGTGTATGGGCCTGAGCGGACCACAGCAGCCATGTTGTCCCAGCAGGTGAGCTCAGTCAAGTGGCCCAACTCTGTAATGGCTCCAGGACGAGGCCCAGAGCGTGGAGGGGGTGGGGGTGTCAGTGACAGTGGCTGGCAACAGCAGCCTGGCCAGCCTCCACCCCACTCTACGTGGAACCGCCACAGCCTGCCTCTCTACAGTGGACCCAAGGGGAGCCCTCACCCCGGCGTGGGGGTTTCCGCCTATTATAACCACCCTGAGGCACTGAAGCGTGAAAAAGGGGGAGGCCCACAGCTGGACCGTTACAGAAACGCGGTGCCACCAATGATGCCACAGAAGGTGCAGCTGGAGGTAGGGCGGCCGCAGGCTCCCCTCAACTCCTTCCATGCAGCCAAGAAGCCTCCAAACCAGACGCTGCCCCTGCAACCCTTTCAGCTGGCATTTGGCCACCAGGTGAACCGGCAGGTCTTCCGGCAGGGCCCACCGCCCCCCAACCCTGTCGCAGCCTACCCCCCGCAGCAGCCGCAGCAGGCTGCTCTGCCCCAGATGCAGCTCTTTGAGAACTTCTACCCCATGCAACAGCCGCCCTCCCAGCCTCCCCAGGAATTTGGCCTGCAGCCGGCTGGGCCACTAGGGCAGGCTCACCTGGCTCACCACAGCATGGCCTCTTACCCCTTTCCTCCCAACCCTGATATGAACCCAGAACTGCGCAAGGCCCTCCTGCAAGAGTCAGCCCCGCAGTCTGTGCTACCTCAGGCCCAGATTGCCTTCCCCCGCCGCTCCCGCCGCCTCTCTAAGGAGGGGGTCCTGCCTCCCACTGCCCTGGATGGGGCTGGCACCCAACCTGGGCAGGAGCCAGTGGGCAACCTGTTCTTACATCACTGGCCTCCACAGCAGCCACCACCCGGCCCCCTGGGGCAGCCCCATCCTGAAGCCCTGGGGTTCCCACTGGAGCTGAGAGAGTCGCAGCTGCTGCCTGATGGCGAGAGACTGGCACCCAATGGTCGGGAGCGGGAGGCTGCCCCCATGAGTACTGAGGAGGGCATGCGGGCAATGGGCCCGGGGGACTGCGGGCAGGTGCTAAGAGGCGGGGTGATCCAGAGCACACGACGGAGGCGACGGGCATCCCAGGAAGCCAACTTGTTGACCCTGGCCCAGAAGGCAGTGGAGCTGGCCTCGATGCAAAATGCAAAGGTGAGACTGGTGTTGGGTGGGGACTGGGTTTGGCAGAGAACAGGGTGAGTGGTGTCCAGGGGCAGGAAGAGAAGTGATTCTCGACCCCCAGGGTAGTTTTTTTCAATTCAATAAAGGAAATGAGCCCATACAGTTTGGGGATTTCTGAACTGTGCATGCAAAGGACCCCTACCTGAGAGTATTCACACCTGAAGAGCAGCTGGGGTTTGTATACACAAAATGTCTGCAGGCCAGAAAGTGCAATAATATACCATTTGGGGTTGTCGTCTATATGAGCCCTGAAGGAATGGAAATAGGAGGAGGGGAAACCTTTCTGGATCCAGCATGCTAAAAGACAAGAATAGGGTGGTGGTTATACAAGTGATTGCATAAAACTAATTAAAAATAAATAAATAAATAAGTGCATTTTATTGTATATAAACTATATGGTAATAAAATTAAAGAAAAGAATGATAGGGAAGATTTTTAAACATATTTGATCATAAATAATCACCATCAAACCCTATGAGAGGGGTGCAATCATTTAGCTCCATTTTATAGCTAAAGAAACTGACACCCAAGTGGGATTTCCCAAGGTCACATGGCTGGGATGGAAGCCTACTGGATCTGATTTCAAAGCCAGTGTTTGCTCTTCTCTTCACCAGAAGTCTCAGTCCTGATGCCCATAGGGCCAGGCTGACGTGTAAGAGGCTGCAGAATTTGCCCTGTCCTTAGGGATAGCCAGATTCACTCTAGCAGTTGTCCATGGGGCAGTAGATACAAAAGACAACCCTTCATTTTGCAACAGCTCCTTGTTCACTTTTTTCAGCAGGGATGTGTTTTGAATATTTGGATACTATTTCATGTGCCACTCACTGTGCACGCTAAATAAAGCCCATCTGAAAACCACTGTGGCCAAAAATGGCCAGCTTGGGACCCCTGCTCCAGGACAGAGTGGGAGGACTTGGCAGAAGGGATGTGATTGAGAGCCTTTGGGCATGTGTGTCAAAAACCATTGGGAGGTAGCGTGGGTATCTGAGTCCCTGGATTGAATAGGGTGGGGGTCCTGGACCAGCAAATCGGGGCTTAACCTTCTAAACCTTACCTCCGTTCCCTCCACTCTTCTCCAGGATGCCAATGGCTCTGAGGAGAAGAGGAAAAGTGTGTTGACCTCAACTACCAAGTGTGGGGTGGAGTTCTCTGAGCCTTGCTTAGCCACCAAGCGAGCACGAGAGGACAGCGGGATGGTACCCCTCATCATCCCAGTGTCTGTGCCTGTGCGGACTGTGGACCCCACCGAGGCAGCCCAGGCTGGGGGTGTCGAGGAGGGTGGGAAGGGTCCCGAGCAGAACCCCACTGAACACAAGCCGTCGGTCATTGTCACCCGCAGGCGTTCCACTCGCATCCCTGGGACTGACGCCCCAGCTCAGGTAGGAGAGGCTTTCCGTCCAGATGCGTCCAGTACCTGTGTGCTCCTAGGGGGCCTTGGGCCCCGTGGGAAAAAGGAGAACGTGGCAGTGTAGGAGAGTTTTAGGTAACCTGTGGGATACTTGTTTCTATTTTCAAATCAAACATAACGGCAAATGTATTTACGGGGGCAAATAAACTGTTTCGTATTTGAAATTGGGACGGTCTGGGAAGATCTAGGATGTGTGGACCTCCTTCATTTGAGGTCCACATTTTGATTGAGCCCCTAACATAGATGAGGTCTGTGCTAGGCACTGGGATATAGAGCTAAGATGTTGGTTCTGTCGGTGCTGAGATACGTATGTTGAAATCTCCAATCAAGATGGAGGTTTTGTCTGTTCTTTTAGTTCTGCGATATTTGTTGTATATATTTAGAGGCAATGTTATTAGGTGCATTTTCAGTTAGGATTGGATTAGATACTTCATGAAATGTTTCTTCTTACCTCTAGTAATCTTTTTTACCTTTTAAAGTTTTCTTGTCTGATATTAATATACCAGCTTTCTTTTAGGCAATGTTTGTAGTACATCTTTTTCCAGCCTTTTACTTTCAACCTGTCTGTATCTGTATTTACTTAAGGTGTATCTTTCCGATTACATGTAGTTGAGTTTTGTTATTATCCAGTCTAACAATTGTTGTCTTTTAATTAGTGCACTGATAGAGTTTACATTGAATTTAATTACTGATACACCCATTGCCATCAATTCCAACTCATAAGTATCCGATAGGACAGAGTAGAACTGCTCCATAGGGTTGCCAAGGCTGTAATCTTTACAGAAGCAGATTGCCACATCTTTCTCTCATGGAGAGGCTGATGGATTCAAACCACTGAGCTTCCAGTTAAGAGCTGAGCACTTAACCACTGTGCCACCAGGGCTTCTTAATTACTGATACACCAAAACAAAAACCACTATCATCAAGTCAGTTCTGACTCATAGTGACCCCATAGGGCAGAATAGAACTAACCTATAGGGTTTCCAAGGCTGTAAATCTTTACAGAAGCAGACTGCTTCATCTTTCTCCCGCAGAGCGGCTGGTGGGTTTGAACCACCAACCTTTTGGTTAGCAGCCAAATGTCTTAACCACTGCACCACCAGAGCTCCTAATTACTGATATATTTGGGTAGTCTACTGTTTGCTTTCTGTTTATCCCATTCTGATTTTACTGTGTTCTCTTTTTCCCTCCTTTTTGTTTCCTTTGGATTGATTGGATTTGTTATTCCATTTCCTCCTTCTGATAACTTGTTAGTTTTACATTCATTTGTAATTCTTTTAGTGGTTACCCTTCTTCTACCTTTCTTACCCTGCTTTCTATAATAGAATTAAACCCTTCAGAAAGTGATCCGAGTGACTATTTTCTCAATTCTCCAAAGAACAATGCGTAGCTGGTACCATTCTAGATATACAGAAGAAAAGTTAATTCATTATATGCAATGAATGCTTTATGACATTAGGGCTTAATTGGTTGAAAAAAGCTGCTAGAGATCAAAACATGTATCCTTTTCTTATTGATAGCTAATCATTTTATCCTAGAGAAGGCGTTTCTTAAAACACTTTAACTCCATTCCCTCCCCAATCCTCTAATTTACAGAGTTATTAACATGCATGTTCAATCTCTATATATTTTAACATCCACAAGACATTATAATATTGTTGCTTTATTCAAGTGATAATCATTTTAGATTTCTACAAATACACTTTTTGTTGCTTTTCTTTTCTTCTTACGTTTCCAGGCTTCCATCTTGGATCATTTATATGCTGCTTGAAGAACATCCTTTAGTATTTCCTGTAGTGTGAGTCAGCTAATGATAAATATTACTAGTCTTTGATTGTCTGAAAATGCTTTTTATTTCACCTTCATTTTTGAAGGATAATTTTGCTGGGTAGAGAATTCTAGGTTGGCAGTTATTTTGGCACTTTAAATATGTCTTTTCACTGACTTCCATTGTTTTTACAGTGTTGAAGAAAGCACTGAGCCGTTATCGCTGTTGAATATAAAATGTCTTTTTATCATACTACTTTTAAGATTTTATTCTTTGTCTTTCGTTTTCAGCAGTTTTTTTTAACTGTGTTATACTTAAATGTTATTTTCTTTGTATTATCCTATTTGAAGTTTATAGTGCTTCTTGAATACTTCTTCATCATTTTCTCTCTTCTATCCTTCTGGGACTCCAGTTACACGTTTGTGAGATTTTTTTTTTTTTTTTTTTTTACCATGTCCCGTATTTTATTGTCATGGGCTTTCCATATTTTCCATTCTTTTTTTTTACTTTTTTCAGTCTGATCTTTTAGTTTACTAATTCTGTGTCTACCTATGTCTAATCTGCTATTGAATCTATTCATTGAGTTCTTATTTTTAGTTATATTTTTCAACTACAAAATTTCCATTTGGTTAATTTTTTGAGTTTCTAGTTCTCGATGAAATTCTCAGCCTTGCCTTTTATGTCATTGAAAATTTTAGTTTTCTTATGATAGTACCATTAATGGCATCCCCTGTGAGTCTGTTTCTATAACCTGTTATGTCTCTTATTTTAGATCTTCTCTTGTCTTCTTGTGTACCTAGTTATTTTTATTGAATAATAAAAAATAAAACTCACTGCCATTGAGTTGATTCCGACTCATAGCAACCCCCTCTGGGTTTCCGAGGTGGTAAATCTTTATGGAAGTAGATTGCCCAGTCTTCCTTCTGCGGAGTGGCTGGTCGGTTTGAACTGCAATCAAATGCCTTAGGTGTTACACTGCCAGAGTTCCTTTTTATTGAATAGCAGACATTATATACAAAAAATTGTTGAGGTAATTAAGATTCTGGATGATGCTTTCCATTTCCAGAGAGGATTAGCTTTACTTCTTGGCAGGTAGCAAAGGGCACTAGCAGTCTGAATCACTTTGATGTAATCAGATTGAGATGATTTAAAGCTGAGCTTTGTTCTATGTAAGGCCCAGTCTATTTCTGATTCACTTTAATCTGAGAGTATAGTCCTTTGGAGTTCCAATCCAAAGCCTAGCAAGGCTTCCTTGACAAACCTTTAACTCCAATTTTATTCTGCCAGTTCCTTGAATTTGTTAAAAATCTCTGCTCAGTTTTTCAGCCTCTCGGTTGCTTCTTCTAATATTGGCATCTGCCTCTAAGGAAAACATGGCCTAACGGCTGTGCCCACCTCTTTGGATTTTCTTCTGTTTCTAAAGAATCTTGGCTTTTTAATTCTTTGCCAACTTATTTGCTCTCTGATATCTTCAGAAATGTGCTTTTTATATTTAGTCTGGCTTTTTTATATTTAGTCTGGCTTTTCTAGTTCTTCTCAGCTAGAGATTTGGCCTGGATACTTCTCCTCCTTAATAGCAAGGGAGCTCCAAGATTTATGGTGAACAGCAGAGTCTCTTCTTTCTGGGGTCTTGTTTTCTGGTTGAGGAAACTGCAGAAGTTTGTGCTAGAGGCTGGAGGCTGCTGGCTTGAGCAGCTTGTTCTGAGAGTGGGCAACTACTAAAAAATTAATTTTGGTAATTAATTTAATGCTTACAGCTATACTGTTTAAAAACCAAACTCATTGCCATTGAGTCAATTCCGACTCATAGCGACCTCCTTTGGGTTTCCGAGGCTGGAAATCTTTACAGAAGTAGATTGTCTAGTTTTCCTTCTGCAGAGTGGCTGGTGGGTTTGAACTGCCAGCCTTCTGGTTAGCAGTCAAATGCCTTAGGCACCGTGCTACCAGAGCTCCTTATCCTATTAGGTAAACAAAGATACCAAACCTGTTGCTGTTGAATTGATTTCTTGGCTATGAATTTTATGGAACCAGATTACCAGGACTTTCTTCTATGGTCCACTGGGTGGGTTCAAACTGCCAACCCTTTGATTGGTCACTCAAACTTGCCATAGAGTCGGATCTGACTCATAGCGACCTCTCCTTGGTTTCTGAGGCGGTATCACTACAGAAGTAGATTACCCAATCTTCCTTCCAAGGGGTGACTGGTGGATTTGAACTGCCAGCCTTCTGGTTAGCAGTCTAATGCCTTAGGCACTAGGCCATCAGAGCTCCTGTTGTTGTTGTTGTTATGTGCCGTCAAGTTCGACCCGACCCGATTCATAGCGACCCCTCCTTGGGTTTCCGAGGCAGTATCAACTACGGAAGTAGATTGCACCATCTTCCTTCCGAGGAGTGGCTGGTGGTTTTGAACCACCAGCCTTCTGGTTAGCAGTCAAGTGCCTTAGGCAAGTGTAAACCATTTACATCACCCAGGGACCATCCCATTAGGTAGGCATTTATTATTCCTATGTCAAAAATGGTGATGCACACAGAGGTTAAGTAATTACAGTGGGTCTCACTCTGAGCAGTCCAGCTTTCAAGCCTGGGTCCTTAACTCCTGTACTCTTCCTGCCCCTAGAGCATACCCTACTGCATGCTTTGGGAACAAAATCCAGAGTGCTAAGAATGGTTTTTACATTTTTAATGGATTATTAAAAAACAAACAAACGAAAAAGAACATGTAATAGAGACTGTATGTGGCCCACAAAGCCTAAAATATTTACAGAAAAAGGTTGCCAAATCTTGCCCTTAAAAAAAAAAAAAAAATTGCTATAAAGTTGCTTCCAATTCATAGAGACCCTGTAGGATGGACTAGATCTGCCCTTTTGGGTTTCCAAGGCTGTATAGTCTTTATGGAAACAGATTGCCACATCTTTCTCCCATGGAACAGCTGGTGGGTTTGAACCACTAACCTTTCCATTAGCAGCCAAGCACTTAGCCACTGTATTACCAGGACTGCTACTCCTGCCCTGTTGTTGTTGTTGTTGTTGTTTGCTGTCGAGTCGGCCCCGACTCATAGTGACCCCTTCTTGGGTTTCCAAGGCAGTATCACTACGGAAGTAGGATTGCCCAACCTTCCTTCCGAGGAGTGGCTGGTGGGTTTGAACCGCCAGCCTTCTGGTTAGCAGTCACGTGCCTTAGGCACTATGCTACCAGAGATGAGAATAAAAAGGGCCTTTGTGTATGTTTCCTTATTCAAGCCTGCCTTGGTGGGTGTGGTGAGCAGACCAAGTTCCAAAGGTGAAACCAGCAAGGAATGGTCAAGACTTCAGTTTTTCCAGGATATAGGAGGCTGAACCATCTTTGTTCTATTTCTTTCTCTAGGCTGAGGACATGAGTGTCAAGGGGGAGGGGGAGCCTTCCGTGCGGAAACCAAAGCAGCGACCACGACCTGAGCCCCTGATCATCCCCACCAAGGCGGGCACTTTCATTGCCCCACCTGTCTACTCCAACATCACCCCATACCAGAGCCACCTGCGCTCTCCTGTCCGCCTAGCTGACCACCCCTCTGAGCGGAGCTTTGAGCTACCCCCTTACACACCACCACCAATCCTTAGCCCTGTGCGGGAAGGCTCCGGACTCTACTTCAACGCCATCATGTCAACCAGCAGTATCCCAGCCCCTCCTCCCATCACGCCAAAGAGTGCCCATCGTACCCTGCTCCGGTCTAGTGAGTGAACCCCCGTGGTGGCCGTGAGAGTTGGGAATATGGGGAAAGAGGGGTATGGGCAGGGAGGGGACCCTATTGATGGGGCTCTTGGGGATTGGGATAGAATGCTGTGTCCTGGAGAAGGAGCTTTGCTTTGTCTAGGAGAGAGGTGATTGGCCTGGTTCAGGCAGATGGCGTGGGTCAGGACAACTGCATGATTCCAATACCAGTCCCACCACTGACTATTACATCCACTTTTGCAAGCCATTGAAACCCTTCTGGCCCTCAGTTTTTCATTGTTGGAATGGGGGTATTAGGATTTGGTTGAACATAGGAAATTGTCAATATTCAACCATTTTTGAATCTGCAAACATCTGCTATGGTTCAACCTCATGCCTGTCTCAGAGAGTTTAGATGAGGACAGATGCGTTAACACATATAAAGCACTTAGCATAATGTCTGCAAGTCACATTTGCTCTTAATATTATATGACAGATCTGGTCTTCTGTGTCTCTTGAATAATCATTTTGCCCAAGAACAGGTATTTTGGAAAAATTAGGCTGGTCTAACCTTGGTGTAGTACTGAGAAATGTTGCACACTCCACAAGGGATCCACTTCCTCTGAAAAATGGGATAATCTCATCTTTTAGGGTGGTAGAGAGGATTAAGTAGAAGTAAACACTATCAGAAGTAGCACTAGGGTGAGGCAAGTCCATCAACTGATTAACCTATGACCTGACCTCATCCACCTTAGCTCTCTGGTGCCCCCTTGTGTCTGTGAGTGAAAAGTGATTCCACCCTGGGCTGCCAGGCCGCAGGCTCTCCTGGCCCTCCCTCTTCCATTTGAAGCTTCTCTTGCTGTCTGGGTTGTACAGTAAGAATTCACTGTAGAGACCAGACTGGCAGCAAAGAAGAGGTCAGTCTTTCCATGAGTATTTATCGAGCACTTGTGTGTAAAGCTTTGAACTAGATCTTCTGAGAGCTCCAAGAATGTACCGGACACCATGGTCTGTCCTAAAGAGAATACAGGGTCATTGTTGTTGTTGTTGTTATGTGCCGTCGAGTCAAACCCGACTCATAGCGACCCCTCCTTGGGTTTCCGAGGCAGTATCACTACGGAAGTAGGATTGCCCAACCTTCCTTCCGAGGAGTGGGTTTGAACCGCCAGCCTTCTGGTTAGCAGTCAAGTGCTTTAACCACTGTGCTACCAGAGTTCCTCAGGGTCATTAGGAGTCAACAAGAAACTCTGAGAGACAGAAGACCAGAGGATTCTGACAGTGTGTGGTTGGCAGCTAGTGAGTGAGGGCCTCTAGCCTGGGGTGGTGAGGAAGGGATTCCAGAGGAGGTGGGGCTAGCACTGAGCTTGAACTCTGCTGGGCGGGGTCGGGAGGGCATGCTAGACAGAGGAAATGAAAAGGCATGGAAGCAGGCCTGCAGGAAGAGTCAGGAGCTGTGAGGTAAGCAGTATCTGAGAGTCCAGGCAAAGGGGTGGTGGGAGGGAAAGATGAAGTGGAGAACTGAGGGTGCAGATTGTGGAGCCTTGAATGCTGTGCTAGAGATTTCAGGTTTTATCCCATGCTGCAAAGTTGTTTTTCTTTTTTTTTTGAGCAAGAGAGTGTCTTTATTTTGTAGGGCATTAAGAAGATTAGTTCAGGAGAAGCAGGCAGAGAATTCACAGAGCAAGTGAGGAGATAATTATAAAACTGTGATCCCCTTCACCACCTCCTAGTGTTCCCCAAATCGAAGCCGTAGACTAGCCATAGTTTCATGTTGGAGTCAGTTCTGCAGTGTGGAAGCTGCTGTAAGCAGGGCCAAGACCTTAGAAGTCATACTAGTGGTATTAATGATACTACTTTTGCTAGTCCTGCCAGCAGTAGAAGTAGTAGTGACAATGATAGCAATATTTATTGAATGCCAGGCATTGTCTCATTTGATCCTCACAAATAACCCTAGGAGATAGATATTGGTAGTCCCTTTCTGCAGATGACAAAACGGAGGCGCCCAGATGGCTAGCAGAGAGCCTGCCTCATCACAGTGAGTGGGCTGCAGACTGGACTCAGAGTTCCTGATTTCTAAGTGTGAACCTCTGGGAATCCCTGTGACTGTCGCAAGCACATTCGTAAAATTTAGGGTTGAGGGATCCTTTGCTGACGGAGGAGGGTGCCATTGACCAACCTGCTCTTTGTCCCATAGACAGTGCTGAAGTCACCCCACCCGTCCTCTCTGTGATGGGGGAAGCCACCCCAGTCAGCATCGAGCCGTAAGTGCAGCCCTCCTGACCGTGGTATGAGGGTGGCTCAGGGAAATCCAGTACGTTCAGGCGGGAGGTTCTGTGGGGCCCACAGATGACTCAGCTGGCCTTCTGCAGTCTGCCCTGGGCTGTATTGTAGTCATTCTGTTTCTGTGTAAGAAGCTGTAGGGAAGGGGAAGGCCCACCTGAATTAGCCTCGAAGGAGACTTGGGTAGGATCGTCCAGGAGACTCTTCCCTGGTCTGTGACTCTGAAGCTGTTTCTCCCCTTCTCAGCCTCTGTGGCTGGCTTTTATGCTGGTACCAGGTACCACATGCCAGATGTCCTCACAGTCCCTCAGAAGCTAGATTTCCTTACTTCCAAACAGGAGTCTTGCCTGTCTCACTGCCTCCTCCACCTACCCTGCATCTCCCCAGTGAGGAAATAAGGTTCCCCCTCCCATGAGGTGAAGCCTCACTCCTGCCCTATGCACGTCTGCAGGCGGATCAACGTGGGCTCCCGGTTCCAAGCAGAAATCCCCTCACTGAGAGATCGCACCCTGGCAGCTGCAGACCCCCACAAGGCCGACTTGGTCTGGCAGCCGTGGGAGGAACTAGAGAGCAGCTGGGAAAAGCAGAGACAAGGTAAGGAGGGGCCTGGGCTTGCACAGGCAAACCTGGTTGGCTGACAGCGAGCCAGGCCCAGCCCAGTCCTGAAGTGATATCCTCTCCTCTTCTCCCAATGGCTCCTGTGAATCCAGTGGAAGACCTGCTGACAGCTGCCTGCTCCAGCATTTTCCCCGGAGCTGGCACCAACCAGGAACTGGCCCTCCACTGTCTGCACGAGTCCAGGGGAAACATCCTGGTGAGATGGTGGCCCCAGTGCAGAGAGGTCAGGGCAGCTAGCATGGATCCTGCTGCCATGCTGGTTTATGGGGGGCTAGAGTGTCTGACCAAGGAGGTATTTGTAGGGGCTTTACCCAAGGGAGTTCTAGTTCCAAATTCCAGACTTCACTGTGTAGGATCCTTCTGTCCACCCCAATGCCTGATTCTGGATCAGTGGGTCCCCTCCCTCAGACAGGGCTGTCACTGAGGCCTTCTGTCTACATGGCTGCCTGACTTGGGGGCTAGGTACCCCTTCTTAAGCAGCTCTGCACCCTGGTCCAGAGCAGTCCCACCCTTCATTGCTTCCCCATCCTGTCAGGGCAGTTAAGGGAGTCAAAAGTAAGTCCCCACCCTACTCGGAGGCCCTCAAGGCCTAGATCCTCACTCAGCCCCGCACTGAGACCCTTGCCAAGGCCCTGACTTTCCCTGCAGGAAACACTGAATAAGCTGCTATTGAAGAAGCCCCTCCGGCCCCACAGTCACCCGCTGGCAACTTATCACTACACAGGTGGGCCTGGCTGGGGGTGGGCATGGGCCCTGCTTTCACAGCCCTGGGTGGGAGTGAAGTGGATAAGTAGAGAGCCAGAGTGAGGGACCTAACATCAAAATGAGGGTAGCTCTCATGGGCCTTCCTGTGCCCTAGAGGGAGAGGAACCAAGGGGTGGGCAGGTGGGAGGCCCACGGAGCCCTGGGAGTCCTATGCAAGTTGGCATTGGGTGCCTGGAACTGAGAGTGCTGTTTCCCATTCTGAGCTCTGTACTTCCAGAGGGACATTGACCAAGTTGTATAACCATAGCAGATGCTGTTATTGATCCCTGTTGACTGGGACATTTGGTCTGTGCCAGGCAAGGCACAGAGTTCTCTTTCAGTCCTCACCACAGCTGGTGAGGTGGGCTCTATAATTAGTTCCCATTTCACAAGCAAGGAGCATGATACTCAGAGGTTAAACAACATGGTCAGTAAGTAGCAGAAGCAGGACGTGGGGCCAGCTCTGGGTGCCTGCAGAGGCCATGTATGGACGACCTGGCAATTCCGACAACTGGTCAGTGTTGCCCCCCAGAATACTCACAGTCCTGCCCACCTCACATCCCCCTGTCCCTCTTTGCCCCTCAGGCTCTGACCAGTGGAAGATGGCTGAGAGGAAGCTATTCAATAAGGGCATTGCCATCTACAAGAAGGATTTCTTCCTGGTGCAGAAGCTGGTGAGCTGGGGCTCTGTGTCAGGGGCAAGCAAGGGGACCTTGGAGCTCCCTCTGCCGGTGTGGGCCCCGCAGTCACTTACCAAACCCTCTCTCTAAAAAGCAGGCTTTCCCCGCATCGAATCTAAGCTCCCCTCTCTCAGTTTAGGGAGATGTGGCCTTTCTCTGCAGTCCCGGATCCAGAGGGAAGATCCAGAGGGAGGTCTGTGGGCATCAGGTCCAGGGGCATCCAACTTAAAATAGTCAGGGAGGGGAGAAGGGAAAGTGGTGAGGTGAGGTGAGTCATTCTCCAAGGGACTGGAGCATGTCAAAGGCCATAATTAACATGTGGGGAGGGAAGGTCACCCTACGGTGAGCAAAACAGAGCGCCAGCAAGTATCTATGAAACTGAGCTGGAGAGGACCTCTGCCCACTTCCTGTAGGACCCAAGACTTCCTTCCGAATCTCAGCTGATTACATGGAGGAGGCCCAAGCCTAGTTTTTCTGAATTTCTAACCTCTCCCCATACTCCCAGGAGAGTAAAGTACTTTCCTAATCCGAGGGAATTGTGTTTATCTAGCCCTCTACCTATGTGGAGAAGGAGTTGTGTGGAACCACTGAGGGAAAAGGGCTATGAACCCTTTACTTTACTTTCTCCTCCTGGGATTATAGATTGTGTCAGGGAGGGCTCCAGGGACTGGACAGGGTACTGATGAATTCCCCTGCAAGGAGGGATTCAACAAGGATTGTGTTACGAGCACAGTCATTTGCGGTGTTTCAGTAATACTCTGTTCCCTGACTGGGCAATATGGCCATGAAGTAAATGCCTGTGACATCTTACTGAGGTGCCCCTAATGCTTTAATGAAAAGTGGAGACCATCAGTCAGTCAAACACTTGATCACAGAGAATTGATAGTAAAAGTGTAACCAGAATCTGATTAATCAGTCTGTGGCTTGGCCATTCCTGCGAGATGAAACATGCTATTTTTCTCCTCTAACACAGTCCTCACTGACCCCTTGGGCTCTCTGGACAGGAACACCTGGCTCCGAGAGCATTCCAGCAGTGTCTGGCCAGCCCGGGAGGCTTGGTTAATTTATGGTCATGCCAGTAGCTTGTTGTGGAGCAGAAATTGGAGAAATGCTTGTATTTCCTGAGAGACATTAGGTTTACCTTTTGGCCTGAGGTTAAGGGGGACATGCAGGAAAGACTGGAGATTTCTGAGGAAGGTGGGCCAAGCAAAGGGGCTCTGACCGCAACTTTGGCCTCAAACTAGATCCAGACCAAGACCGTGGCCCAGTGCGTGGAGTTCTACTACACCTACAAGAAGCAGGTGAAAATCGGCCGCAATGGGACTCTCACCTTCGGTGATGTGGATACAAGTGAGGAGAAGTCGGCTCAGGAAGATGTTGAAGTGGATATTAAGGTGACTCCCTCCCTAATCTCAGCTGCTTAGTGCCTGGGCTGGGTCTGGGGCCAAGGCTGAGCTGGGAGCCTGGTCTGTGGAAGGCAGAAGAAGAACAGTAGTGTCCCTGATAGCCCCCAGGAGATGATGTCTCTGGCACTGGCACTGGGCCTTTGGGTTCCCATCTCTCTACTTCCTGCTCCATCACATTACACTGTGTTGATGCACTGGGGAATTTCCCCTGTATTTGCATCAGCATCGACGTACTGCCTCCTCCTGCCAGACTTCTAACATTGTTTCCTCAACTTTAGCCATTGCCTTTATAAATTTTGCTACGTCTGCATCCTACCACATACCTCCATTACTGTTTTTGTTTTATCCACATACCATGTATGGTATTATTTAATATTTCTCTTTAACTCAGCTCATTTTTTACTCAAGTAAAGGGGAAGCTTTATTTCACAGTCGTAACTAGAAAAACCAGTGTTGTTTACAAGAAATAGAAGGTACTGATAAAAATAAATCTATATGAAAACCAAACAGTGTTATTAAATTCTAGCCAGATGCTATTACCTGCCAAGGCTCTGAAACTGAGTCCTGACCTCTCTGTTAAAGAGAAAGATGATTGAGTCTAGAGAAATGTAAAAGATGTTAAAACCAACTGGAAACGTTGTCCTTGACATAATCGGGGACTGAAAGAGAAATGAAAAGAAAATTTTATTTAGTTCTGTGTGCATGTGTACACCAACATCATCTCGGGGTTACATGTCCACGCTTGTGCTCAAAGACAGTGTTTGTTCTTCATTGTGTGGATGAGAATGGGTTTGAGGAATAAAAAGTGTTACAAAGATGGTTTGGAATTGGAGCTTCACCAGACCACCCTGTTCAAGGACATGTCTCTTGAGTGTCCGGGAGGGGAGTGGCCTATTTGTGAGCATGTGGCATACTCCCTCTCTGTCCCTGACTCCATCTCAAGTGCTCAGTCTCCTGAGGGCTCCCAGGCTCGAGCCTCCCTCTTCTGACCCAGGTAGACCAGCCTTGGATGGCTGTGGCCTGCCCTGCACAGGAGGCTGCACTGGGCCAGGCCAGGTGAGCAGCAGGGCTGGCAGCACCTGGCTCTGCCTGAGCCACGCAGTGTGACAGCATCCCTGAGCTCTGGGCTCACTACCTTCATTCTTGCTGCCCCCCCCTCCCCCGTAGACTTCCCAGAAGTTCCCAAGGGTCCCTCCTCCCAGAAGAGAGTCCCCAGGTGAAGAGAGACTGGAGCCCAAGAGGGAGGTGAAGGAGACCAGGAAGGAGGGGGAGGAAGAGGTACCAGAGATCGTGGAGAAGGGAGAACAGGAGGAGGGGCGAGAGCGGAGCCGGCGGGCAGCGGCCGTCAAAGCTACACAGACACTACAGGCCAATGAGTCGGTAAGTGTGACTCCGCCCAGGAAGCCCAGGGCCAGGATAGTTGGAACTGGGCCTGGGGTATGAGAGGAAGGGTAGAGCAGGTCACCATGACCATCACGACCATCCTAATAGCAGCAGGTATACTGAGTGCTTTAGCTATTAACTCATTTAATCCTCATAACTACCCTATGTGGGAGGCACTATTATTATTCCCATTTTACAGATGAGAATATTGAGGCCTGAGGTAACACACTACCATACAGCTAGTAAGCAGCCTGATGCCAGAATCTATTAATTTTTACATTATACTGCTTCCATATCTGAGATTCAGAGGAAAGAGGCTTTGTGAAAACCCAGAAGATGGGAGGGAGACTGGGGAAGTATACATGAGTTGTAGCACAGATGGGGCTCCCCCAAAGAGAGCATCATCCATGGTGAGAATATCTGAAACTGAACCGAAGCAATGGGAGTAACAAACACAGCGCCTCATGCGTGTTCTCTACAAAGTGTTTCCTGTCCTTTATTTCCTTAGTTCCTCACGATAACCCATAAGTTATCCCCATTAACCCAAAGTGTTAATCCCCATTTTGCAGATGGAGAAAATTGGGGTTCAGAGATGCTAAGTGACTTGCCTGAGGTCACCCGCAGGTCCTCTGACTCCTAGTGCAATGTGCCATCTACCACATCACAGGCCAGGAAGCAGGATCTACCAACCAGAGCGGCTCTTTATCAGGGAGAGGTCCCCCAAGCAGCGGTAGAGATTGGGAGGGGTCTGTTGAGAATCTGTTGTGAGAGTCTTTATTATTATAATCAAAATTTGTGTTGTACATAGATGCTTACAGAAAACCACCCATGAACTCTAAACACCCAGCAATTTGCTCCCTTCTGAGCCTTGGCTATGTTCCTGCTTTGCTCTGTGGACACATTCCTATGAGAGTTGGCACAGTGCACATAACTTACATTTCTAATGGCCATCTAAGGCTTCTCTACCCCAAGGCACATGGTCTCCTTACCATGCCGTGAGCAGCACCTCCTCCTACAGGTCTGAGCTTCATGCCCTCTCTTCTGCTTTTGTGGCACCTGTTCTTCCCTTCTGTTCAGCATGTGCAATGCTCTCTTGTCATGAGCTAGCTGCCTGCAGCTTCGTCTCTTCTATGCAATTTTGAACTCACTGAGGGCAGGGGCTCCCGTCTGTCATCTCTGTATCCCTAGCACCTGGCACATCACACAGACCTGAGTCTCACTTGTGAAGTGAAGGCATGAATGGACTGAATGACTAAAAACATGAACACACGTTTCATTAATTGAGACACCAAGATCCCTTGCCAGACTTGAGAGGTCCTATGAGTCGGGGCCTACTCGATGGCACATAACAACAACAACAACATGGCATCTAGGACCATCCCACTGAATTAGTGTATTGACAGCTTTCTAAAGGAAGGTTGGGAATTCCTACTTCCATAGTGATACTGTCTCGGAAACCCAAGGAGGGGTCGCTATGAGTCGGGGCCCACTCGATGGCACGTAACAACAACAACAACAAAGTGACAGAGCTGGCCACGGACTGAGTGGGCTGTTGAGAAGGCAGTTAAGTTCCTTGTCGCTGAAGGATTGATTCAGGCTGATGCTAGATGACCATTTGGCAGGAGTGTGTGACATTTAGGAGTGTTGGTGGCACAGTGGGTAAAGCATTTGGTGCTAGCCAAAAGGTCAGGGATTCAAACCTACTAGCTGCTCCATAGGAAGGATTTAGGAGTCAACTTCCGTAAAGATTTACAGCCTTGGAAACCCTTTGGGCAGTTCTACTCTGTCCTGTAGGGTCACTGTGAGTCAGAATCAACTCAGTGGCAGCGGCAGTGAGTGTGACCGATAAGGGCCCTCTGTTCCCTGAGAGTCTAGAAGTCTGCATCCTCACTTCCTCAGATCACTCAGCTGTCCTTCTTTGATTCTCTCCAGGCCAATGACATCCTTATTCTCCGAAGCCATGAGTCTAATGCTGCTGGGTCTGCTGGTGGCCAAGCTGCAGAGAAGCCAAGGGAGGGGCCGGGGAAGTCACGGAGGGCACTGCCTTTTTCGGAGAAGAAGAAAAAACTGGAGACATTTAATAAGACCCAGAATCAGGAGAACACTTTCCCTTGTAAAAAATGTGGCAGGTAAGATGGCAGGCTCTGTCTCCACTGGTGACCTGGCAGGTGGAGGCAGGGCAGAAGTCGGGTTTGTGAGAAGTAAGAGATTCCATCTTGTTTTCTGATTGGCTTAGTGGGTTTCTAGGGGAATGATGTCATTTGGCAGCTTTTAGAAGGGAGGGATGCTGGCCCTGCATCAGGACCCCATCTCCTAGTCAATGCTTGGTGAGGATGGGCCATTGACGGGGAGCAAGGCAAGGCCTGTGGGAGCCCCTATCTCTCTCGCACATTGACACTCACACACTATAATTTGGGGGTCCCTAGAGGGTGAGGGGCCAGACCTCTTACTTGAGCTTCCTCCTGCAACGTTACAGGGTGTTTTACAAGGTGAAGAGTCGCAGCGCCCACATGAAGAGCCACGCAGAGCAGGAGAAGAAGGCCGCAGCTCTGAAACAAAAGGAGAAGGAGGCGGCTGCAGCTGCAGCCGCAGCAGCCAGGGCCTCGCCCCACCAGCAGGCCCTGCGGGAGGAGAGTGGTGCTGGTGCTGGTGACAAGGGCTGAGACGGGGAGGGCTCAGCAGGAGAGTGAGGGGCTGGCCCCTCTCGCCCTGGGCTCCCCCGCCACTCCCTGTGCCAGCCTGCAGGAAGGCGAGGAAACACCTTGGAACCTCAAGAGGGTGTGAGAAGATGATCACCTGGATATTCTCTGAAAAACAAATCAGACCGTAAAATAAAGGGCGCTTTTATTTATTAAGGCCCAGAAGCAGTGTTAACGGGCAGCGGGATCCAGTTCTCTTTGCATTCGGTCTGTTGGAAGTTGTCCTCATGCTTTCGTGGAAGTCCCCGCTGGGGCTCAGGCTGCCCCCTTGGGAGCACCAGCTGCTGCCTGCTGCCTCTCACACTCTGAGCTCTGCTGCCTTTTCCCTTTCTCTGCCTCTCGTCCTCCTCCTCCCCTGAGTCTCCAGGAAGTGGCCATTGGGAGCCAAGCACAAGCTCACCCCATTGTGGCATTACTAACCCTTCCCAGAGGACCTCAAAGGCTGCCAGGCCCTGCCCCAAACCCTGGAAAAAGGCTCGGCCTGACACCTGTGGCTGCCTTCAGCACAGCAACATCCAGGCCTAAGCTGCTCCAGGGACCCTGTCCTCAGAGAGGCCCCCTCCCCCTTGAGGAGGAGGCCACCAGGATGCCTCATGGGAGAGAGAGACTGAGAACAGGTACTGTCTCTGCTGTTTGCTAGCAGCCCTGCTAGTGGGGGAAGGGGCCAGTGTCCTGTCCGAGTTCTCAGCTTGCTGGAGGGGGGGGGAACTGCAGAGGCTGGAAGCTGCTGGGCTGTGTACGGGGCCAGGCCTGAGGGAGTTTTTGACAAGGCTGGCTCTTCCTGCTTCTCAACTCTTTGCCAAATACTTTCAGGCACTGGAGGCTGCTTACGGGGCTTAGCCTAGAGGAGGTCGTGGAGAGGCCTGGAGGGAGCATCTCCAACAGCCCAACTGCTCCCCCTACTTGCAGCTCCCTGCCGGCATTTGTCCTCCCCCCAGCAGCTGCCCCCAGGCCCTACCCCCTCCAGTGCTGTTGCTCACAGCCCAGCCCCCAGTCTTACAAGCTGGAGATTTCTGGATCCTTCCCTGGAAAGGGGAGGTCTCTGAACTAGACTGAAAAGGAGCCTTCATTCCTTGACTCCTGTCATTTGGGAGCTATTTATTTATTCTTAATATTTAATTTTTAACATCCTCTCAGGGACCAGGGGCCTCCTGCTTTCCAGAGGCCCAAGTGCATTTATCCCAAAACAAGGCACTTCTTGGCACCCCACTCCCCAAGGCCCTAAGGTCCCCCAGCTCGTTGCTCTGAAAGCTCTTGCTAATAGGAATGAATGATAGTAGCACTGAGAAAGGGTGGAATGATGGACGTGTCACCCAAGCCATGCGGAGACTTACAGGAGCAGGGGAGATCAAAGGCAGTTTCTGTTTGCTACCTCTTCTCTGGCTGGACTTTCAAATTGCCTGAGGGGATTGGCAGGAGGCCAGTTCCAGTTTTGTTTATCTGATCTGAATTCTGGCTGGAAGAAGCTGAATTTGGCAAGGAGTCGCTGAAGTGAAAGGGGTGGAAGGTTCTGGAGGCCCCATTACTTGCCAGCCCCATAGGAGGGCTGAGTTATTTTTCTGATCTTTTTATTCAACTTTAATTGCATAAAAGAAGTTGTAACAAGTCAACACTGTTAGGAAGGAGCCAAAAAGTATTCTTTCTGCTGGTCCTCCCTTGAGCGCCTCAAGGCATCCTGTTGCTAACTGGGAGTGGGGAGGGAGTTTTGTCTTGAAACTATGCACTATCAGGTATTATTCAGCATTCATTTATGCATTAATGTGGTTCTACGGGACCCCAGCTCTGGGAGTAACAAAATGATCCTCCCCCCAGACTCCTGGACAACCACCCTGATCTTCAGCTTCCCAGTTGTTTTCTCCATAGACGTCTACAAGCTCAGTGTCCCGAGATTGCAAAAATCTGGTATACCCTCTAGAAGTAGGAGGGTAGCAAATTTAGGCTCTCTTTTAAATCACTTTGTGTAATATGAGTGCCTTCACAGCTTTGCCCCAAAGTGCTACTTATGCTTCCCAAGGTTGTCTTCTATTTAAACCATATTTCATTTCAGGCCCCTTTATGGACATATGGTAGCAGAAACCTCCTTCAGTCACGAGACCCTTCTGTTCAGTAGTAGCTTCCAGTACAGGCAGTCCCCGGGTTACGAACGAGATCCGTTCCTAAGTGTCTTTAAGTTGAATTTGTAGGTAAGTTGGAACAGGTACATATGGTTCTTATTTAGCCTCACTTTAGTGCAAGTAAAGACTTACAGCCTTTTCCGTGATGTAAAAGCTGCATGTATTTAGCCTCACTTTAGTTCAAGAAAAGACTTAGAGCCTTTTCCATGAGGTAAAAGCTGAATGGGCAGCACGTGAAGGTGATTGGGTAAAGAATGTGGTGCCAGCAGGGATTGGTTCAGTGATTTCAAAGTGAGGGCAAATTTACATAATAATTAAAGGGCAAGTAGGCGTTGTGCTTAACCCAGGGCCTGTACTTGAAAATCTTTTTAATAAGAAAGTGATTCTCTTCCCCTAAGCTTATGGAGATAAGACCAGGTGAATGTAGGTGGAGAAAAGTAGAGATGGTACCTGTCGGTATTGGTCCTCCAGCAGCCTACCCACCAGACACCATATTTTAGGAGGGGTTTTAGGAGCGTCCGTGTTCTAGGATGAATTTATAGCTGGAATGCAGTGTGAAAATTAAAATGTTGGGAGGGCAGATGCAATTGTGGCAAGTGAATAAAGTCGGTGTGGCCATGGAAGCTGGCCTAGGTATATCCTTTATGGTGCTTTCTCCCTGTGAACACGTTAGGCTCATCTTTTTCTTCTTACTCAGAGCTCTGTGCTTTTGGAAGTTGAATGACAAACACCTCCAGCTTTATGCCCTCACGTTGTCTCATCACATCCATCTCCCAGCCTCCATCTGCACTCAGCTAAGGGCATGAAATTGACCTAGTGCCTGTGTTCCAGACCATTTCTGAGGTCTCTCACCCACCCAAGGGGACAGTGCTGTCCGCCCTGTTCTCCACGCCTTCAGCCGCCTCCCTCACAGCTAAGGTACACACTTGCCCCTTCTGCTGCCCCACCTGCCGCTGTGCTAAGTGAGGTCCTCCGCTGGCACAGAGGTCGTGTGCTGCTTATATCTAAAGGGATCGCCTATATTTAACTGCCTCAGTGACCTAAACTCTTTCTTCTCATGTGCCAGAGGCTAAGATGAAGGAGGAATACAACACATCCTCCAGCCTCAGCTGTTTAAATGTTTTCATCGGGGCTCACTTTTCTGGGTCGGTATTTATTCCCAGACTGGCAAGCCTAACTCCTTAGGTTTACAGGAAGTATACATATTTTTATAGAACAGTTCTATCTCCTCCCCACATTCTGCTGTTAATATTTGCCTCTAACAATTTGCAGCTGTTTCACCTTTTCCTCATTAATCTCTAAGTTGAAGGCCTTGTTGGAGGGGACAGAGCACAGGAACAGCCTTGACAGTCTGTAATTATTGTACAAATATTTTAATAGCATATAAATAAGTATATGCCTTTTATTTTGAGAAAAATGATCAGACACTGCCTTTTGTGTTTGCTGCCTGTGGCACCCTTTTTTAAAAAGACTGTTACATATTAAAATAGTGTACATATATATATATAAATAGTACCTCTTTTGCTGTACAGTTGTAATAGACCAGACTGAAGATTTTATTTTTTGTGTGCTTTTTATATTAAAAAATTAATACACTAAAGAAAATCTTGCTGATGTGGTTGTAATGTACCTATGTAACTTATTTACTTTTGAATGTTCCTCTGTATCTTTAAACCTTTTATTAAATAAGGTTTTAAAAATTCAGAGTTGAAAGTTGTGTTCTTTTGGGGGGATTTTCACCATCTGGGATTGACATAAACAGGCCTTGTTTTGCTTACAGAGGATTGATTACACTGGACATTTTTGAACCGTAAGGATTCTGTTTTAGCAGCCCGTTGTCCATGACGCTAGGACAGGGGGGATATCATACTACTGTTTGCCTTGCTACAAAGATGACTGACAGAAATACATCTTTTACGATATGTTAGACAAGAAAAAGTCCAAACTCAGAGTCTCACAAAGCATGAACGGCACACTTCCAAAATAATAATTTCACTGGGATGAAACAGTGGGTGCAGAGTGCGGTCAGGTAGCACAAGGAAGCCTAGGTGCAGAGAGGTCTTCGTATGCAGCGTAGACTAGGCTGAATGAGCAACTTGAATAGTCGGCCAAGACAAATGCACTTTCAACCGTATCATTTTAAATCCACTCCAGAATTAGATTTTTTTTAAAGACGGTGCTTAGCAGTATTTTTTAATTGTAAAAATATGTATCTATGAAAAACGACATGCACCATCGGAGCGATTAGTGCCCGTAACCCCTCGCTGGCCCCTAGGCAAACCACTCGACCCTCCCAACCGCAGAAGAGCTCTGGTTTCGGGTCGCCTGGGACACAGTTGCCATGGCTACGCACGAGCAGGGGGCGGAGCGGGCCAGAAACCTTTCACAGGCCTGGCCCCGCCCTCCACTGCGGCAGTAACGCTACAGCTCGCTGCTGGGAGAACAAGCTGGCTCCTTCGCTGCATTAGAGCCGGGTGTAGCCTGTGCACTGCCGCCCGGGCTGGTCCTTGTCCGTCGCTTCCAGCCTCCTCTCTCCGTATTGCCTCCGGTCCCTCCGTCCTTGATCCTAAGTCCTCGGCCCTCGATTATCCTCGCCGCCTAGAGGGTTCCCGCGTCCGCGAAGAAGCCAGTCGCGGGCTGATCGGGCCGCTGCCACTTCTGCAGCTTTGAGACAGTCTTTTCCTTCAAGGGTGTCAGAATCCTCGTTTGCGAAACAGCCAGCCTGCAAGCCAGGTTCCGACAGCTAGCCCTCTAGCGCCCTTTCCACTCCCCGAGCAGCAGCTAGTGCCAGGCGACCCAGGCTGCGTGCGGAGGCGGCCACGCCCCACGACTACCCGCCAGCAGACTCTTCCGCTGGGCGACTCCTGCCTTTGCGACCCGCCCTCGCTTCTCGTCTTCTGTGCTGCGACGCTACTCTCTGCTGGCCACAGATCGCCGCCGCGGAACTCTACCGGAGACGTAAGATGGCGGCGACCGCCTGACTGACTATCCTCGAAGCTTTGCTCAAAGGACGCGCAGACTGACTTAGGGGAGCATTTTGGGGAGCAGGGTGGGAGCAGGACTATGGTGTCATTTTAAAAGTGTGCTTGCGTGAAGCTTGCCTCCTTGAGGCTTTTTTTTTGGCGAGTCTCTGGTATTGTTCTGAGTGCTGGAGCCAAGTGAGGCATAATCGAATCCGTACTTGTAGAATTGGCGCCATTTGATAGGTGGGAAAATGGCGATGACCCTGTTGGAAGATTGGTGCAGGGGGATGGATGTGAACTCCCAGAGAGCCCTGCTGGTGTGGGGGATCCCAGTGAACTGTGATGAGGCTGAAATCGAAGAGACCCTCCGAGCTGCGATGCCCCAGGTGCCCTACCGAGTGCTTGGGAGGATGTTCTGGAGGGAAGAGAATGCGAAGGCAGCCTTGTTAGAGCTCACTGGCGCTGTCGATTACGCCGCCATCCCCAGGGAGATGCCGGGTAAGGGAGGGGTCTGGAAAGTGGTCTTTAAGCCCCCAACTTCCGATGCTGAATTTTTAGAAAGGTTGCATCTCTTCCTAGCGAGAGAAGGATGGACCGTGCAAGATGTCGCCCGGGTCCTTGGCTTTCAAAACCCCGCTCCGGCCCCAGGCCCAGAAATGCCAGCAGAGATGCTAAACTATATTTTGGATAATGTTATCCAGCCTCTTGTTGAGTCCATATGGTACAAGAAGCTGACCCTGTTCTCGGGGAGGGAAATCCCGGGGCCTGGGGAGGAGGCCTTTGATCACTGGCTGGAGCACACTAATGAGGTCATGGGGGAGTGGCAGGTGTCCGATCTAGAAAAGAGGCGGCGGTTGGTGGAGAGTCTTAGAGGCCCCGCCGCGGATGTCATTCGCATCCTCAAGACCAACAACCCTGCGATAACCTCCGCCGAGTGCCTCAAGGCGCTGGAGCAGGTGTTTGGGAGCGTTGAGAGCTCCCGGGATGCCCAGGTCAGGTTTCTGAACACTTACCAGAACCCCGGAGAAAAGTTATCAGCATATGTCATTCGTCTGGAGCCTATGCTGCAGAGGGTGGTGGAGAAGGGGGCCATAGATAAAGATAACGTGAACCAGGCTCGCCTGGAGCAGGTCATTGCGGGCGCTAACCACAGCGGGGCCATCCGCAGGCAGCTGTGGCTGACCGGAGCTGCGGAGGGGCCGGCCCCGAACCTCTTCCAGTTGCTGGTGCAGATCCGTGAGGAGGAGGCCAAAGAGGAGGAGGAGGAGGCCGAGGCCGCCCTCCTGCAGTTAGGCCTGGAGGGGCACTTCTGAACCTCAGGAGACGGGAGAGGACTTTAGTGCAGACCTAGATCACAGCTGCTTTATTGTTTCTGTGCTGTCGTATAGGTTTGTCTCTGAGGAGTTAAAACTTAGCCATGTTCTGGGTTTTTTGGTTTTTTTTTTTTGGTGGGGGAGGTCAGGCCTGTTTATTCGTGTAACATTCGTAAATAGTGCAAGCGAGCACCGGAGCCAGCGTCTTGCTGGCTGAAATGCCAGGTAAAGGCTTGGACATACGTGCTCAGTGTATAATGTCATCGTCAGTTGTGAAATACAAGTGCACCTGTGACACTTCCTATTGAGGTAATTAAATGAGTGCATGTTCAGACGTTTAGCGCAGAGGCTGGATCTTGAGACATGCTCAATAAAATTGTGAAAACTTAGTCACTGATATCGTGGGTAGCTTTTGTGTTTACTTAAAAATAGTTCCTGATTTATATTAATGGAAAGAAATGTGAATTTGTTTGATGTTAGTAGCTATTCAACTTTAAGATGCAAATTTTGTTGGTCGTCTTTAAACACCTTGGTCAGTTTAATTGAAAAGTATATTCTGAGACTACAACATGGAGTATTAGAAAAATACTGTAATTATAGTGCTGTGTAATTCAGAGATTTTCCCTGATAGAGATAGAAATCGCATGGGGACGTTGACATGAACCTGTTACAGTAATCCATTTCCAATCTTTGTCTCCGAGTAGGAGGTCTCCTTGTTCATGCTAATTCTGAGTGTTCTAAATTTGAAGTTACCAAATAGATGTATACTAATAAAAGTATTTTAAAAATTCCATTGTCTTTTAGGTTTTCTCTTTTTTTTCTTGTGTAAAAATTTTCTGTGTAATTAAGTTCTGGATCCTTTTCTTAGGACTTTCCCCTGTGTCATTAAAAAAAAAAAAATCAAACCTCATTTATGTTTTTAAGCTTTATGTTATGGCTTTAGTTGTAATTTAATGTATTCAATTTTTACATGTTTTCTTCAAGGCAAATATTAGTAAAATAGACATGTATAAGTAGAATAGTAACTTACTACAAAATTTTAGGAAATTCTGAAATGAGGTTTAGGGCACTTATGTGACAATGCTTTTTATCCCTTTTTAAATTTCTGGCTAAACTTTTTGGTTGCACTGAAGAAATAACTGACTCACTACACCTGTGTCAAATGATTGTTTTCAATTTTATATCAAGAGCTTTAAAAAGGAAAATAGGGCTTTAAAATGTTTGGCTGCAGAGATTCAGTGATTTTTGAGATCCTAGTTAATCCAGCCTTGGTTACATGAAGATAAGAATTGAGCAGGTACCACTGCCATCCACTTGGAAGGGATGTAGGAGATCCTGCATAAAGAGGGAGAACAATGTGGTACAAAACTCAAAATCATTTGGAGGCAAAAAAAAGAAAAAGAAGGTGGAGACCAGGTTTGCTGGTCCAATAGAGCAATAGAGCCTGGTGTAACCACTGAGACTATGGCCCCTAGCTGCCCTTCAGGTCTGGAATTGAACCCACAACTGTGGTTTCCAGCCAAACAAAGTACAGGCATGTGAGTTAAACATTTACCTCAAGTAGACACACGCCCTGGAGAGAACAATCATGGGAGAAGGAAGGGCTGCTTATGCACAGGGACATAGCTCAGGGTGCAGAAGAGTATGAAGGGATGGACACTGGGAGGAGGTAACTATGGGGAGGAAGTGGGAGGGGAGCTGCTGCATTGTGAATTTTGGTCAATGACATGAGACAAAGTATATGTGAACTGCTGTATGAAAAGTGAATTTACTCTGTAAATCTTCACCCAAATCCTAATAAAAAAAAAAAAAAAGAATTGAGCAGGTAATTTTTCCTAATAGCAAGGTTTTAAAATTAAGCAGATTGACATAATCATAAATTATAAAATATATATATCAAAGCTAGTCTATTTTTCTGGTGGCATAGTGGCTAAGACACTTGCCTGCTGACCAGACGGCTGGCGGTTCAAACACACAAGCCACTCCTCGGAAGGAAGGTTGGGCAATCCTACTTCCGTAGTGATATTGCCTTGGAAACCCAAGGAGGGGTCGCTATGAGTCGGGTTTGACTCGATGGCACATAACAACAACAACAGTCTTTTTCCAGATTTTGTCTACTCATGTCCTCACTTCTGTCATGTGTGTACCTCCCTGTCACACTCTCCTCCTACAAGCAAACTCCATACTCACCTTCCCCCCCACAAATACGCATATCCTCACATCCCCCTACAAATAACCACATGTCCCCCCAACCCGAGGTACATAGTTCCCCCTCAACTTGTGTGCGCCCACCTTCTTGCCACCTTTGCCATCACACATTCACACCTCCCCCTCAGCACATTCTCATAAATACATTCCCTCCTCCCACCACATGCTCCGGTGCTGCACCATGTGCACTACACAGCGACATGGCCACACACAGTGCTTTACTCCACCCTGTACTCCCATCCCCCACCACAAACGTGCACACACTTCAATCCCTACTACACACATAACCAACCAACCACACTCCTGTTAAACATAAACCACCACTGCCATCAAGTGAATTCTGATGCATAGTGTCCCTATCGGACAGAGCAGAATTGCCCCACAGGGTTTCCAACGCTGTAAATCTTTACAGCAGCAGACTGCCTCACCTTTCTCCCAAGGAGTGCTGGTAGTACCACCCACTCATCTGTTAGCAGCCAAATGCTTTCAGCTACTGCACCCTCAGAGCTCCTAAACATACACACACATTCTTAAATTTGTTGTTGTTGGTGCTGTTGAGTCGGCTCCAATGCGCAGCACCGCCCGGTCCTGCGCCAGCCTCACAATCACTGCTGTGCCTGAGCCCACAGTTGCAGCCACTGTGTCAATCCATCTCGTTGAGGGCCGTCCCCTTTTTCGCTGACCCTCCACTTTGCCAAGCATGATATCCTTCTCCAGGGAATGGTTCCTTCTGACAACATGACCAGAGGAGGTGACAAAGTCTGGTCATTCTCACTTCAAGGAGCACTCTGGCTGTAATTTTTCCAGGACAGATTTCTTAGTTCTTCTGGCAGTCCATGGTATTTTCAGGTATTCTTCGCCAACACCACAAAAGCATCAAGGTAAGTTTTTCACCTATGTTATAGGCATTCTCCCATGTCTATATATAGGGTTATACCTTTTTTTTTTTTTTTTTAATTGCAGAGTTGACTGGATCCTAAGAGAGAGGATCAGCACCCAGGATTTTAACTTAACCATGGGCAGTCTCAGACAACAACTCCTTGCTCTCAAAAAACAAACAGTCAAGTCAATTTCAGCTCAGCACCCCTCCTTGGATTTCGGAAGTGATACCACTACAGAAATAGACTGTCCACTCTTCCTTCTGTGGAGTGACCGGTGGGTTTAAACCACCAGCCTTCTGGTTAACAGTCAAATGCCTTAGGCACTAGTCCACCAGAGCTCCCCCTTGCTCTTTAATGTTAATTAAATGTGTCTACTTCAAGATGATTGCCTACTGGCAACAATTTCATCATCACAATCACCTTCACTTGATGCAGATGCAGCTTTTTTTTAAAACTATTTTTGGGGTCAGGATGAAACTTTACAGAGGAAATTGGTTTCCATTCAACAATTCATACACTTTGTTTTCTGACATTGACTGCAATCCACCCAGTGTTACAGCACTCCTGTGTTTACTGTTTGCTTTCCTCCTCCTTCCCTACTTCCTGCCTTCTGAGCTCTATCCTTGGGCAAATGCTGTCCTTTTGATCACATATGTTAATTGTTCCTAAGGAAAACCTACCTGCCTGGTGGTGGTATTCACTTTTTAGGCCTGTTAAGCTGATGTGGAGGTTTCAAATCACTGAAAAGGCTTTGAGCCTTTACTTGCACTAAAGTCATGCTGAGTAAGAAGAACCATATGCACCCGTTTCAACTTACACCAACAAATCAAAGATTCACATAGGAATAACACTCGTCTGTAACCTGGGAACTGCTTGTATCTACATGTTATGTGCTGTCAAGTCGGACCCGACTCAGCGATCCCTCTTGGGTTTCTGAGGCAGTATAACTACGGAAGTAGATTGCCCCATCTTCCTTCCAAGCAGTGGCTGGTGGGTTTGAACCACCAGCCTTCTGGTTAGCAGTCAAGTGCCTTAGGCACTACGCGACCAGAGCTCCTTATCTA